GTAATATTAAAAACCGAAAAGATAAAATATAAGGGAAGAAAGAAGTTCCAATAATACTACTAAGTTTATTATAAAAACTTTCAATAAAAAAGTTTGCGAAAATAACAATTTCTAAATTTCTGTATTCACTAAGCTAATTAACTAATATTGAATGTTTCTATTTTCAAGTTAAAAAAGTTATTGACATAATTTGACTTTATTTATTTGTTAAAAGTTGGATTGAGATCGATTAAATTTATAAATATAATAATTTATATTATAGTTAATATAAAAATAATGAAGGAGTACTTATTTAAAATTGATTATATACTCAGTTTTCTAATAACTTAATTTTTAATGTTTTTTTTTTTTTTTTTCCCTATATTATTGCTATAATAATATTTTTAGAAACAATTTTTTATTTTTAATATTATATTTTAAAGTTTCTTAATTAATATTAAAATTTTATTGGAAAAATCTAATAACATATATTTTAATGAGATGTTTTGAGCTTTTACAAATAAATTATTTTTTTGTTATTAATAAAATATATATATAATATTTTTTTTATTTTTTTTCACTAATTTACAATTTATTGTTCTTCATTTTTATTATTTTATAGAATATTTTGTATATAATTAGAAAATTTCTAAGCTTCATTAATAGAATTATTTATTTTTAAAATTTCAATATTTTGCGGTTTTTTAATTTCAATATTTTGCGTTTATTTAATTTCAATAGGATTATTTCTTTATTATTAATCGAATTATGATAATAATTAATTATTTGCCATTTTTATGATATTCATTCTTTTTTTGCAATAAGAAGTACTTTTTTCACTTGTTATTTATCTGTTTTTACTAATAGTATTTTTAGTTGAATTAAATTCGGTTTGATTTGTTGATGCATATTTATTTAAATGTGTAAATATGTTTTAGTTATCAATTTTTTTTTTATTTAACTATTTTAAAAATTAAGTGTTCATTTGTTTTCTAACTTTAATTTTTTTTTTTTATTTTTTTAATTTTTTTTTTTTTTTATACTTTTATATAAATAATTAGGTTTTTAATATTTATTTTCTTGTTCTTGAAATTAATTTTAGTATTAGTTTAGTATGTTCTTTTAATCTTGCCTTAAAATTTAACTTATTTTATGATTCTTTTAAATACTATTTATACTATCTTTTTTTAAAATTTTATTTCTTCTTAAATATACATTTTTATTTTAAAAAATTAATTACTTTTATCAATTTTAAATAAAATATTGGATTCAGTTGCGAATTTTTTAATGTTAAATTGTTCTTCTATTTCTTAAGGATTTAACTTTTTTACTAATCTTTTATAAACTGATTCTTGATTTTATTTTTTATTGTTAATATTAATTTGTTTTTACAATTATTATTATTCGTTTTGTTTTTCGTTTTTTAATTAATTTCTTTCAAAATCAATATAATCCTTAATATTAATTTATTTATTTTTTAGGAAAAAAATAAATAAATAAATGTTTAACATTTTCATTTTGAATTTATATCTCTTAAGACTTATTCTAATTATAGCTAATACTCTTTTTTTTACTATTATTTTTCTTCTAACCTAAAGCAAATAAAAATTAGTTAATTTCATCATCATTGTTTTTATTTTTTTAAAGATTTTAAGATTCCATTTCATTAATAATTTTTTATAAAATTATATGGTCATTTTCATCTTAATTACAATCATCATTTTTTTTGAGTTTTTAAATTAATAAATTGCTTGTATTACTAATAAACTAATTTTTTATATCAGGATTATTCGGTGTATTCAATACTAAATTTTTCTTAAATAATTTTAGATTATTTCTTGCTTAAAAAAAAAAAGATTAAAACAAAAAAAAAAAAGTATAATAAAAATACCTTCTATAGTACTATTTTAAATCTTTTAATAAATAATTGAATACGCCTCAAAAATAGACTTATATTTTTGAAGCATTTCTTGTAATGCAAATTCTTATAATTCACTAAACGATTAAAATAAACGTGTCCCTTCATCTTAATTATTTTTATATATTCTAACGATTTTTTTGATATGTTAGTTAATAGTTTAAGAATGTACAAAATATTTAATTATTTTCTATTCTTTTAATTTTTTAATATAATTTTAACATAAAGCTTTCAAATCTGTATCAATATTTGATTTTAAAATACCGTAATCTTAATAATTATATGTAATAGCATTTTTTAGAAATTAGTTTTCGCTTTAATTTTATATAGAAGTTATTGAATGGATAATACTTCTTTAAGACAATTTTTTTAAAAAAAATTATTAATTATTTTCGCTTTATTTTTAAAATAAATGCTATATGTTTTTCCCTGTTAATTGTTAAAATTATTCATTTGTATAAAAAAGAATATCATATGAAATAAGATCTGTTCCTTTTTAAGATATTATGTATATAATTTAACATATTCGGCTTAATAAGTCTTTTAAATAAATAAAGCTATAGAATATAAATTTAAATGTTTCCTTTGATTCATCGTCTATAGAAGTATGATTTTAAGGTTTATGAATAGCTTAGTTTATTGTTATATATTTATTTTAATTTTTTATAAATTATTAATTAAATTAATTATCCATTATTCCTGAATCCATTGCAGTTTAAGAACTCAAAAAACGATTGATAAATAAGTATGGTTCATTTTCATTTTTTATATCGCCTTCTTATTATAGAAAACTGTTTAATTAAAGAAGTTACTATGTTTCTTATTCTAATAAATTTAATTATTATGATAAACTGTTTTTTTAATTCAATTTATCTTCATAAGCTGTTTCTAACATTCTTTTTTTTAAATAAGCTTCTAGTAATAAAAAATAAGATTTTCTGTGATGAAATTAATATTTTTCTTAGTTTTTTTGTTTTGTTTTACAATTTAATATATTTGTTTATATATATATTTTTTTTTTACTTATTCTAAATAATTTTATATATTTTCAATTATTTATTTACTATCTAATTTCTAATCTTAATTATCTTAATCAAATATAGATTTATTGGTTGAAATGTTTATTATATTCTTTACACTGTTCTTTTTACTATATAATCCACTTTTATTCAAACTTTTTTATATAGAAGAGGGAGAACTAGTATTACTTAATATATTTTAGTAATACTGAATTTTGTTTTCTAAAAAATACCTTTTATTAATTGAATTCTTATTAATAGAATTATATATTAGATTTTTTTATATAAATACTCTTCTAGTTATTGTATTGTTTGTAGATTTTGACCAATTAAATTAAGTTTATTTTCTTTACTAATTCTTTAGTTTTCTATTTCTATTTATTAGTTCAATTTTTCTTTTGTCTCTTAATATATTTCTTTAGTTTCCTTTTTTTATTTTAAAACTAAAAATAGTAATTAATTAATTATTTATACTTTTAATTTAATAAAATTATGCTATAATAAGTCTTCTTCTAATTATATTTATTATTTTAAATATTTTTATTATTATTTTTTCTATTCAATATATTAATTTTCAATTTAAACTGTTTCTATATATATGTCCTAAATTTCTTCAAGATTTCTATTAGTTTCTTTCTATTTTTTTATTACAAATATTTAATGGTTTTATATTTAAATTATTAAAAAGAACTTTGTTTTCTTATGCATGAAAAGATATTCTTTCAACGTCTGAATATCTTACGTCAGCTAATTTATGCATTCTTTCCAAATATAATGTTTTTTCTCTAATCTGAAGCTTTTTATTTTTGTTTCAACAAAAAAATATAACATATGCTTATATATATATATATATATAAAAAAAAAAAACAGTTGAGGTTTTTAATTCTTCTATAATGTTCAAAACTTACATCTAAGTTTCTGATTCTTAATCGATATTTATTTATGTTTCATTTGTAAGCTCTTTGATTTTATACAATCGTTATTTTATTTATTCGAATTCTTTAAATCCTTTAATATTAAAATAAGTTAATCCACTATTCTTATATAAAATTTAGGAAAATCCTTTATTATTTGTTGAAGTATTTAAAGCAGTTAATTTAAAAGTATCAATATTATCAGAAGATTTATTATTATAACTATTTTTTTATTCTTTTTATAAAAAATTTAATATGTTTGTTTATTCATTTAATATTTAAGCTTTTTTTTTATTTTCTTATTGTATTTAGTTGAATTAATTTTTATACTAATTTTTTTTTTTTTTAATATATTTAACAAGTTTTTTGTTTACATTGTATATTATATTTTTTTCAGTTTAATGGCTTTTATTAGCCAAATTGTATTCCATTTTTTGGAACTCTTATCTTATTTCTTCCTTGTATTATTTACATTCTTCAAGCAATTTTTATTTTTTTATTTATTCTATATCTTCTACTATTTATTATTATTTTTTAACTAATAAACTACTATTTTATATTTATTTCATATGTGGTTTATTTGTTATCTTTCCTTTTGAATTTTTTATATTAATATTTTTATAATTTATTTATCTTATTTTCAAACAAATAAATGTTATTTATATTTTTGTTAAGTTATAATTTTTGTTTGTTTGTTATTAAACAAGATGTATATATTTTTTAATTAAAATACAATTAATTACTTATTTTTTATATAATATAAATATTTTATTAATTAAATAAAAATATAAATTTAAATATTATTTATTTATAATTGAAAAAAAGATTAATTTTATTTAATAAATGTTAAAATAAATTGTGTTTATTTTTTTTGTAAAAACGAAATTAGATCTTTAAAATTATTAAATACAATTAAATTATTAAATTTTATTAAAAAAAACACAAAGATAATTCTAATTATATTAAAAATATTTTATAAAGATAACAAAAAATTAATTAAATATATAATTTATAATTTAAAATTATTTAAATAAAAAAGTAAATATTTACATTATGGATAAAGAATTAAATATAATCAATTCTGGAAATCCTCGAAAACTAATAGATTCACATGATGATAAAGGCAGATAAAATACATAATAAACAGAAGAAAAACTTGAAATAATAACTTAATAAGTTGCTTAAAATAAAATTCCATTATTTGAAATATTATTATTTTTGGCATATTCAATTTTGTTCATATTTATAGTATATAATTAGCTTAATATAACAAGGTAAAAATTATTTATTATATATAATAATTACTAAAATTTAAAAATATAAAAATTACAAAAAGTGCTTTTTAATTAAACAAATATATGAAATAAAGATTCGCTCCAAATTTTAAATCAAATCAATTAATATCAAAAGCAAGTATAGTAGATTATTTATAAAACTATATAATTAAAAATTTTATTTCATATGATGGATTTTACCCATTTTAAGTTTAAGATGACTTCTATCATATAACACATCTAAGAGTTTTGTAAAAAAGATGTTAATTATAATCAAACTCATCAATATGGATAAATCCAATAACAAGTTCACATGATAATTTTGGATCTGTCAATTAATTTAAGTAATTAAATAAATAAATATATTAGAAAACCTACAAATTATTATTTTTCATATTTGTTTAAAAAATATAAACTAGAAAAAAAAAAAAATAATGTATATTTATTTTTATAAAATATAATTTAGTTTTATATAATCTGTTTTTTTTTTATCAAATAAAAAAAAAAAAAAATTCTTTTTTTTTTTAATAAAATAAAAATAAGATAAACACTCAAATATATAAATTAAATTTTGAAATTTACTTATATATATATATATACTTATATATTTACATTTATTTTATTTATATATATATATATTTATAATATAGATATAACTAAACTCACTAAGGCTTTGTTTAATTTGTAAATAAATTTAATTATACATCCTCAACATATAATATTTTTCATGATCTATTTTCTTCTTAATTTTTCGATATTTAAACTCGATAGTTATCATTAGATGTTGCCTTTTATAATGCGAATTCTGATATGTTAAGCATGCTTTAGATTGTATTTGATTATGCACCAACAGGATAGGTTTTTGTAAATATTTACTTGGACTCTTTTTGCGTTAATACATATTCAACTGCTTTTAATAGAGTAAGAATGATTTGTGAGATAGTTTTTGTTGTCTTATATGGATTCTATTGTATTAATGAAGTTTTAAAAGTATTTAGATAAATAAGAAAAGTTTAAAAAGAATACGATACAAAATTACAAATATAAAAAAATTAAAAAAATACATAAAAAAAAGATGAAAAAAATCCCATGTAAGTTTCAAAAGGAGCAAACAAAATTTTATAGAGTAAAGTTCTTTAGTAAATTTAATAAGAAGTAACTATTATTTTTTTGTTTAACTTAAAATGATATTTATAAATATTAAAAGGCCCTTGATTTTGGAAGAATAAAGAATATTCTAATAGGCATTAAAAATCATGTATAAGATGTTTGGAGTTTTCTTGATGTTACTTAATTAACTTTAACTGGTTTAGCTCTTTATTCTTGGATTTATTTTATATTTTATAATGATTTATCATCAAAACTAAAAGACATAGACTATAATTATATAATTGAAAATTAAATAAATGATGTAGATGAGGAAGGAAAGAATAAAATTATTAATATATATGAAAGTATAAAATATATAAATAAAACAAACAAAAAATATAATTTATTTTTATAAAAGGTTTACCGTAAATAAATATTCTAACTGTATAATTAATTTAAGGGTTAAAAGTTTATAAATAATATATAGGAATAAGTATTTTTATTATGGCATTTAAATGTACTAGATATTTGATAAGCTTTTCGAAAAGGCTAACTGATTATTTAAATATAATAATGAAAACTTTAGATTTCTTATTTAATTATATAATTTTATTAGGCTGTATTTTATTAGCATTTTCTTATACTGGCTTTTACTTTTATGGACCTCATATAGTATAATATAGTTCAATATATAGATCATTCGTATAAACTATAGGAATAATAATGAGTGTAAGTGATATAAATAAAGAAATGTAAAACGTAAGTAGAGTAACAACATTCTTTTATTTTTTAGGATTTTATTTTCTAATTATAAGTATTTTAGTTAACTTTTTTGGGTTTTTGTAAAAAATGAATATGCTAAATATGAATAATAGAAAGAATTTGAAATTTAAAGAAAGCAATAATAATCTAAAGAATAAAAAAACAATAATTTATAACCTCATATTTATTTTAAAATTAAGAAAATAATTGCCAATTTAATTATGAAAATTCGATATATATATGATTCTAGTAAATACAAAAGGTTTTCTTTATAATTATATTAAAATTTTTATTATTATTATTTTTTTTAAAAAATAAAATTAAAACTAGTTATTTGTTATAAAAAAGTATAAAACTTCAAAAAAAGAAAAGAGAATTCGAATATTCCTCATCTTCAATAAAGTTCGACCTTTAGTTTTCTGATGTTATAAAATAAAACCAAACAAACGTTAATTTTTTTTATGTGGAATAAGAACGCGAGAAGAAACACCATGAATAAAAATAAGGAACAGTCCGTATAATATGGTCGACAATATTATTATTTATATTTCTTATTATGAATATAATTGTATTATTTGGGTTTTATTCACCAGAAGAATCTCATTAATATGTGATGTAACTTAATAATAAAATAAAAGACGTAAGGATAATAGAAAGCTAGAATTCGAATACTGTGTATGATTATTATACAATAAACAGGAAATCTCAAGTAGCTTAATGGATATCTAAACTCTGTTCAGAAAAATTCAATTTAATTAAACTTTATGATGAAACTGATTTACAAAATTCAGGAAATAAGTCATTGATGAATTCTATTTCTGATCTAAAATTATTACTTTAAGACTAAGAAATAGATTTATAAAAAAAAATAAAAATTTAAGATGCAGAATAATAAGACATTTAATAGGATAAATATGAATCAGCTTTTACATTTGATAATTTTAATCTTTTAGTAAATAATAAGATTAGAATAACTTTAAGATATTCAAAAGAAGTTAGTAATGATTCACCTCTAAATCATATAAAATCATCAAAAGTAGCTACTTTTTTCACAGTATTTGATAAAAATCAAGATGATGAGTTTAAATAAACTTCAGGATAAGGCAATAATTAAATAATTTTTAAGGAATAAAAAGGATTTGCATAGAAAGGAGCTTACACATTTGATTGGTATCCGAATTTCTTTCTAGATAATCTTCTAGTTTTATAAGACGAACAATTTATAACGAAATAATTAGTAGCTTTAAGTATAGATTTTGTGCTTTTTAATGGATTTGGAAAAGATAAATACTTAGTATACGATTATATAGCTTTTTCATTTAAAGAATCTGGAACAATAGATTAAAAGGAATTTTATTCATAGACATATAAAATATTAACAATTATATCAGTTGAATAGATACTATTATTTATAATGATTTTATTATTGAGTTTATTTGTATTTTATAATTTGTTTTAAACTATCTCTAATTTAAAGGCTTAATATGTTTCTTATTAAAGATGGTATGAACTTTTCATACTTAATTATTTGACTCCAGATTAATTGTATTTTAGATAGTATTAAGAGCCAGAAATAATTAGAAAGTTTAAGTATATTTTCAATATTTCTACACTTCTTAAGTTTATTTATATAATTACTATGTCTTTACTAATTATTTTTTACATTTATATATATATAATGGTATAAGTCCTTATTTAGAATGGGTAGGTTTAATAAATTCCTTTATATCTATTAACAGGAGATAAATATAAGAATGTGCTTAAATAAAATGATAATTATGATTATTTAAATACTATTTTTTCAATAACTTAAACTGTAAAAATTATAAAACCTTTAAACAGTTTAACGGTTCTTATTTTATGCTTTTAAATACTTTATAACTTGACTAATAATTAAGATTTCTAATAAATATTTTTTGCTATTAAATATATTTTAAATGAGTTAACAAATCTTTTAATTTTACTATTTTATTTTCTAACATGCTTTGTTTTGATTTCTTTTTTTTATTTTGGTTATTATTTATTTAAATAATATTAACATATTATCTTTATATAATAAAATAGGTTCTTACTATTAAGAATTTTCTAATTTTTACGGAAGTTATATAATGTTATGTGAATTCTTGTATTCGATTTATAATAAATTTGATATGTTTAATACAGAAGACACTTATTATGAAGTTTTTATTATATTGATTCCTTATATGGTTGTTATAAAGTTTGTTATGCTAAATTTATTTAGTTCAGTAATTTATAGAGGATATTTTAAAGTATAAGATAATAGATAATAATGTATATAACTATATATTTACTTAATTTTAAAAAATTTATATATATATAAATATATATATATATATATATATATATATATATACATATATATATATATATATATAATAGAAGCTAAATTACATATAAAACAAAAAAGTAGTTTTTAAATAGGATTTAGTGAATTTTGGAAACTTACACATGAAATTATTAAAAAAATGTAAAATAATTAAAGTTAAAGTAATACTGAATTTGTAAATTAAATTGTAAAAAGATCATAATGTTTAGATATATTCAACAAAGTACTAACTTCAATATTTATTTTTGTTAAAAAAAAAAAAAAAAGATTAAAATTACTGTAAGATAATATAAACCTACAATGGATATTTAAATATGGGTAGATAGATGTGCAGTAGATATAAAAGATGAAAATGATTAAAGATAATAATTAAAAAGTATTAGTGATGAAATTACTATTAATTATATGTAACAGATAAATGATGGCTCATTTTCTTTTATTCAAGAACTAGAAAAAGTAATTTTATGATAAATATATTAAAATAATAATAATAAAAAAGGATGAAAGACGTAGAATTGTTGAATATTAACTTAAATTAAAATATTATACTTATTTTAAACAAGCAAATATTATTTTAAAGAAGTTTTAATAAGATTTTGTATAGGAAATATAGTTTTATAAAAGTAAAATTTCAAGCAAAACTAACGAATAAGATAAAGAATAGTTAGAAGATTATTATGTAAAGGTCTATATTTGTAGATTAGAGGAAATGTTAAAAGAAAAACTTAATAAAGTAAACTTTTTAAGGATTGAGTATGATGAATAATTGTAATAATAATAAATTAATAAAAAAAAAAGTAAAAAACATAAAGTTAAAAAAAAAAAAAATAATTAATAATGAAAACAACAAATTATATTGTTATATAAATATATATTAAATAGAAAAAAAGAAAAAAAAAACATAGAAAAATATTTATTTTTCTAAACAAAAAAAATTTCAACTTTTAGTTATATCTCTATATTCTTTTATAAGTTATTCTATTCCTTTATTAATCTTTTTTTTATAATTTAAAACAATAAATATATAATTAAATAAATTAATTAATAAGTAAATATATAAATAAACAGTACCTAAGTATTACTAGAATAAGCCATTTTTGCTTCTTCGAAATTAAAATTTTTAAACTATTGAATTAAATCCAATTGTTTTTCATAATTTTCTATATCTTATATATAATCTTTAGCTCTTTAATCTTTTTTAGGATTTTCTTTACTTAACAAATCAATTTTTTATTCTAAAGGTTCAATCTATATAATTTAAAAAATATTATTATTTTAAAGATAAAAATATAAACTTATGTAGATAAAATATCTTCTTATTAAATAGCTACATCAAAGAGAATTTTTAATTCATGATCTCTTATTTATTATTCAATAAGTTTTCTATCAATTCCTTCAAGATCATTTTCATAATTTATTTATATAGATTCTTATTCCATTTTGTTTTATATAATTTCATCATTTTATTTTTCTAAAAATTCATTTCTATTTGATATCTTATCTATTTTCTCAACTATGAATTGTCTATTTCTATTTCTATAGCTCTTACTTTGTCTCTTTCCATATCTTTTACTTTTTATTAAATCATTAATTCATTTATTTTTTATTAATCTTCTATTTATTCTTTTATATTAAATATTCGGTTTGTTAATTAATATCTTTATGAAACTTCATTATTTCTATCTTTAGCTTATGTTTCTAGTATAAATTAATATTCTGAGATTTTCATTTTTGACATGTTTATGTCGTTATTTATTCCAATTATTCTTTTTTTTAATATGTCATTTTATTCTTCTAAAAACGCTTTGCTATGTTCAAACGCTTAATTATTTTGTTTCTCTTCCTTTAATTATAAAAAATATAATTTATAATTAAAATTGATATATTTATAATAATATATGTATATATTACAATAATTATATATTTAAATATAATGATTAATATTTATATATATTTATATAAATTTATATATAATATATATATATATATATATTTATATATATAGATATATATATATTATATTCACCATTTCCTTTTATGCTTACAATATCATTTCTTCTATTTCTTTTACTTTTTTTTTCTGTTTTTCTAGTGCTTGTTTTTAATATTGTTCTTTTCTACCTGTAATTAAAGATTCTCTATCTTTATTTCGATTAAATACAATTATTTCTCCTTAATATTCACGTATTTTTTTTGTATATTCTTTGTATTAAGGTTCTATTTCTGCTATTGTATATTTTTCATCAAAATATAATTTTAAATATCTTTTATATATATTTAAATAAATAAATATAATTTATTTTTACTTATCTTGTTCTTTTTAATATTAATCTTTTTTTTATTAGATTATTTTTTATAGTTCCTAAAATTTTTACTCTACTTCAGTAATTTCTTATTCAATTTATTTATTTTTTAAATTTATTTGATTATTTTCTTCTATATGTTTCTTTTATTTAATTATTTATAAATAAGCAGACACATACATACATATATATATATATATATATATAAAATACTTTTAAAGATTCCTATAAGTTTCTTTATGTATGAGCATAAATATTTTTCATTGCAATAATGTTGTCATTTATAGGAATTCCATCATTGAAATATTTAAAAAAATAAGAAAAAGTAGTTTATTCCTCTGTTTCTTTATCTTTTAATAATTTCATTTCATATTCTAATAACTTAATTTCATCTTAAAGACCTTTGACATATTATTCTTCTATGTTTTATTCCAAACCGTTTTTTTCGAATTTATCTCCAAAGTTTTTCGACGTTGCTCCAAAATTAATATTTGTTGTTTAGTTTTATTATAATTTGGATTAGATATTGTTTTAAATTTGATTTTAAGTTCTATCTTTATTATTTACTAAATCAAATCCTTCCATTTTTTATTTTTTATAGTTTACATTCTCAACTTTATTATTTTAAAAAAATAAATTAATTTATATTATATTTATAGTTTTTTTTTTTTACCTTTAGGAGGGTTTTTAAATTATCTTGATCCTACAAAACTTGAGGTACCTTATTTTTATTATTTAATAACAAAAAAAAAGTAAAATAAAAAATAAAGAGTAAGGAAAATATTAATGTACCTAAATTATTATTTGTTTATAAAGTATTTTTCATATTTTTTTTATAACTTAATTTTATTTTAAATATAAATATATTTTTAAAAATAAATACGTAAAATTAATATATTATTTATAATATTTTCAAAACAATAACTTATTTATCTATATAAAAAATGGAGTCCAGTATAAAAGTATGGTAATAATTATTTGGTAAGTAAAGATAAGTAGATTATGAAACATTTTAAGAATCATTTCACGAATTTGTGTAAAAATATGGTGAATACAATATGGATGAATATTAATTAGAATACATAAAATCTTTAATTGACCCGGATAATTAATTTCAAGTATCAATAATAGATTTTTACATATTTTTTTCTAATTTTTGGACTATTCCATCAAAACGAAAGCTTATATTTACTTACTAATTTTAAATTGAAGAAAAATACAAAAACTTACAAAAATAGTGCGATATCGATTACATTCGTTTAACAATCTAAAATAAAGAAAATAAATTTTCAAAGAGCATTATATATAATTCTATAGTAGATGTATATAAATCTTATATAAAAATAAATTCTGAAAAAGAGTAAGAACTAAATAAAATACAAGTTTTAAGAATCGGAAGTGATGAAAAAAGTGGAATAAACGACATATTATTAAGTAAAGATGAAGATATAATTCCTTTTCATACCAAAATATGTATATGTAAAAATGGTTATTATATAAAAGATTAGAGTAGAAAGAAAAATCGAATTAAATTTATTATGGGACATTCTAAATACTTTATGTTGGATTATAAAATGGTTTTTTAAATTGGAGATTGCTCTTTTGTTGTTAAAAAAATTAGCCCACATTTTAATTTCGAAGAAATGAATAAAAATTTTGTTAATTTCGCTTACACAAGGTAAATATCTATATAAAATGAAATTTAAGATTTCCATTTAAAAAATAAAAATTTCCATTCTGTTGAAGAATGGAGAGAAGAATAAAGAAATGACTAAAAAAATATGGAAAATTAAAATTTTTAAAATTTCGTTTTATAATTAGAATGTATAGAAGGTTCTTTATATCCATAAAAATTTTCTATTAATAATATTAATAGCTAGTTAACGATTGGAAGAGATAAATAAAATGATATTCATATAAAAGATATTAGTGTAGGCATTAATCATGCTATTATTTAATATAATAAAAACTATAAAGGATGGTGTATTAAAGAAAATAAAGAAACATTAGGAAGTTATGTGTTTTTAGCTAATTATGATTAATTAATAAATAATCAAGAAAGTGATTTTCATTAAATTTAAACTGATATGGAATTTGAAATTGGAAATTATATTTTTAAACCAAAAATCGTATTTAAAAAAGATTAAGATTTATGAAAATTTAAATAAAATATAGTTAGATATAATACATATAATATATATTCGATTTATTAAAATATAGTTACATATTATATATATATTCAAATTATTAATACTTATAAACTTGAATAAATTCCAAATAATCCAAAAAAAATTCCCAAAAACATCATAAACCAATTAAAGTTTTTTTAAAAAGTAGAAATATTTTCTATACAAATATTACATACTAATACAGGAATTACAGTTGAAAGTACAATTCCACATATACATCCTATTAGTCCAATAAAATTTGAAACTTTATTTATAAAAAAAGAAGTAAAAAATATAACTATCATAAACATTACACGAATTATTTATCCTTTAAATTCTAATTATTTCATGTCTTTTTCATTTAATTATATATTTTAATTATAATATGATAAATTATTATCATAGTCCATTTCATTTTCATATTTTCTTTATTCCATATATATATCTAATTCTTTTTTATCTCCATATTATTCCTTAATTAATTTTTCCCTTAAATATTCTTCTGCTATATTAACTAAGGGTAAAACTTATATTGGATAAGAAAGCAATAAAGCAATACAATAAAACATTTAAATAAAAATCAAAAAAGGCTAACTTTAAACTGGTAAATTAAATATAATTAAATCCTTAAGTTAATTTCCAAAAGAAAGATAACCTAAAAAAGCAATAAACCAATATAAAAATAATGCTAAACCAAAAGAATACTTCAAAACTATATTAAATTAATTTGGGTTTTACATTGAATCTCTAACTTCGAAATAAAGCCCGATTCCTTCAAAAGTAAATATGAAAACTCCAATTGATTATCCAAAATTTTATACATTAAAAACTACAGCCTCACTTTTGAAGTTTTTAGAAACTAAATTTTTCAAGCAATAAATTGATATTATTAAAAGAGATGTTAAAACAAGGATATTCGAATACATGCTCAATGATTTTAATTTATTTATATTTCGTATAAATATCAAAGGAAATACTAGTATTATTGAAACTATTAAAGAAATATTACGATTAGTACAAAAAATACTTTCACATGAAAAAAAACAAAATATTTAATTTGAATATGTAGTAAAAAATACCACATAAGCTACACAACAGCTTGATTACATTCCAAATAAGCATATATTTGCTAAATACCCGTATTTTTTACCTAATGTATTTTCGCAAAATTATACTAAAGATTTTGAATGTTTGATTGATTTATTTGCAAATGATATTAATTATAAACTTAAATATATTATCATAAATGCACATACTAGCATTAAAAGTGTACCACATAAATAACCGCTTTTAGAAAAAGCAGTTGGAAGTGAAAGGACACCTATACCGATGAAACCTTTGAACATATTTACCGAAGCCCAAAATATACTAGATTTATTATCGTTATTCATTTTTAGTTTTTATTAATTATTTATTTTATTTATAATAAAAATAAAATAATATTTATTGTTTTATATAAAAACTAAAATAAATTGTTTAAATTATTATATATATTTTATTAATTATAATATTTAAAAAAGAGATTTATTATATTTTTATAAGATATTAATAATTAAATAAAAATAAAAAAAAGAAGCTAAACTAAAAAGATTTATTGATATATACATATCAAATAAAAAAAAGTTTACTAATAATTATTATAATTTAAATTGAAATTAATATAAAATATAAATAATTTTCAGTAAAAAGAAGATAAATATATTTATTTTAGTATTTTTAGGTATATTTTATTTATATAAATACCATATATAAATAAGAAATATTTTATTTTGATTAGGTATTAAAAAATATAATATAAAAAAGTAAAACAAATGATTTAAATATATTATTAATTTTAAGTTTTATCTTTTTATAAATAAATAAAAACTTTAAATTATAATATATAAATAAAAATAATTAATCAAAAAGTATTTTAAATATAAAATAAAAAAAATTAATATATATCTATATAAAATGTAATAATTGTTAAATTAAAATATTAAAAAATTAATATTTAATATAAAAAATAATAATTAAATTAAATTATTTATTAATAATATTAATATATTAATCATAAAAATAAATAAAAAATTCAATATTTATAAAAAAAATAAAATTAAAAATGATTTAAAAAATTAATAATTACAATTTAAAAATTATACAAATTATATAAATATAAATGCTATTAAAAATAAATTGTCTTTTTATAAAAAAAATAAAAAAATTACAAATTTTAAAAAATATGAATATATTTATTATGTTAATTTCCTGATATAATTATATATTATTTAATTAAATTATAATATATTAAAATAAAATATGTCATTATTATATTATAAATAAATATTATTGTTATATTAAAAAAAAATATAAAATATATATAATTTAAAATATATATATTTATAAGATTAATTAAAATAAATTAAATCAATAATATATTCTTCAATTATTATTAAATAGAGAATATATAATTTTTTGAATTCTTTTTTCTAATTTATTATTTTCAACATTTCTATTTTTTTAATTTTTATTAAATATTAATTTTATTAATCTTAAAATAATTTTTTTTATAAATTTTTGCATTTTTTTTTTTATATTTTTAAATTAATAACTTTTTAATTGGTTTATATATGTTTAATTTTATATCTGTATATTCTTAAATAAAAATTAATTTATATTTCTTTATATATTATAATTAAAGATTTTTTTTATGTAAAATATTTTTTACCATATATAATATTATAAATAATATATATATTTTAAAAAAATTAACTAAATGCAAATGAATACGAAAAAATATGATTTATTAATTGAAGAAATTTAATTATTTTCAAACGTTACAAAAAGCAAATATATAATGTTAAAATAAGTATATAAAGTTTTTAAAATTTATTTAAAAAATCATTAAAAATTAGCATATTAATAAACTTTTAGCAGAAGTATAAGAATAAAAAGCTAAACAGAACCAATAATTTTAATTTTAAACTCTTTTGAATATAATAAAAATAACATCTAATACCCGAAAATCAACTCCTAATATAAATCTTCTTTAGTTTCTTTATCTTTTATATCATTTTAAGCTTATACAAGATGTATAAAATTAAGTTTATTTATTATTATTTTTCATAATAAAAAATAGAATGATTCATAAATAATGTTAGATTATCTTATTTAAATATTAAGCATAAATAAATAATAATTATATATAAAAATTTAATAAACCTTATTTAATTTAATAAATACAAAAATATTATCAATAAAGAATTTAAAATACATATAAGATGTAAATATTTATAATTAATAAAGTATACTTTTTTATTGATAAAATTAGGTGTTCTATATACTTTTATATACAAGGAATTTATATGATAAGTTAATGATTAAAAATATAAATTATGATATTTTATATTAAATTTTAAGAGAAATTTCAGTTTAAATAATAAATAACAAAGAATAAAATGATTTGATTAATTATATATAGATATTTTAAGATTTTGTTAATTTATTAATTAACAATTAAACAAAAGTAAATTGGATTAGAACCATATAATTATAATAATAACAAAATGATTTTTGTAATAAAAAATTAATAAATAAATAACAAATTAATTTATATACTTTTTTATAAGTTATTGAAGCTATTAATATAATGATTATTGAAGGAGAAAATATATTTAATTAAAACTAATAGTTAAGAAACATTGTAGAATAAACATTAATGCCTTTATTATAATAGAAAATATAGAATATAGATTATTAAAACATATTAAAATGTAATTAAAAAAATATAAAAATAATATATAATACAAAACAGACTATAAATTTCTTTAATTGTATTTAAGTATAATAGCGATTTATAGTAATAAATTTAATTTAATACTATAAATATAAAGATAATAGTAATAATAAAATTAAAATAATCAACCAATAATATAAGATTATCTAAAACTTCAAGCAATAAATTAAATATTTTCTAACACAGAATATTTAACAGAAATTATTAACAGTTAAAATACCGATAATGTAAAAAAAAAAAAAACTAAATAAAATTGCCATAAAAAAAAGCCTTTACTAATTATCTTAACAGAAATATTTGAATATACTAAAGAATTAAAAGGGAAAATATAATATAATTAAACTAAGTCTTAACACTTTAGATTAATATTTTTTATAGATAAAAACGAGTTAATATCATTGAGTCAAAATGAATATTATTACATAATAAAATAGTCTATTGGTAATTTAATATAAAGCACTGAAAAGATTTTTAAAGTAAAAGAAGAAAAAAATACTGATCTAAATACTTAAAAAAGTCAATAGCAAATAATGTTAACAGATTTTATAAATTTAATAAGTGATAAAATCAATAAAATTATAAAAAATATAACCATTATAATTATAAATGATAATATTTAAAAGAAATATAATAATGATTTTTTCAATATTATATTAAATTTAATTAATATTTACATAAAATGTGATAAAAAAGATATGTTTTATAAAATTTATAAAGAAGTTTGCTAAATTTCGAAAAACGTAATTTGTAAAGAAAATGCTTTTTTCTATAATTCATTTTTGTTTTTGGAGATTTTTAATAATTACAATTAATTTTTCTCATAAAACTTTTGGTAAATAACACTAGATTACATAAATTTATGTAAAGATATTATTTTTTTTGATAATGATTCTGATGAATAATTAATTACTATATAAGAAAATGAAAAAAACTAATTAGAATAAGAAGCTAATATTGTTAATAAATTAAATATCTTTTTTTTAAATTCAAGACTTTTAGATTTTAATTAATTTAAAATGCTTATAGTAGAACTCAAAAGTAAAATGTATCAAAATATGGAAGACTATTTAAGTTAAAAATAAGAATTCGAAAATTCATAATTATAAAAGTATAATGATAATAAAACATTAAATGATAAATAAAATAATTAATCTACTTTAAATCAATTAACGACTTCATTTTCTTATGACAATGAAAAGGAATAATTTTTTTTTAGTATTTAAATTTTTAAAAAAATATATATATATATATATATATATATATTATATTTCATATATATATATTTTTATATTTATTAAATATTAATTAGAAAAATTTAATTAAACAATAAAAGCTAATATTTTTAGATTAGAGTTAATTTGGGAAGAAATTTATTGTACTTTATTAACTATATCAACTTCTTAATATAAGTCATTCCGAAAATTTGGAATTATTATTATTGGTAAAGTGTTAAAGAAGTTACTTTATTATATAAAAAATAATAGTAATAAAGATAATAAATTAATTTTAAGATAAAATTTTAATGATAATATATTTTTGATTTATGATAATATATTTTAAATGAGCTTTTAAGATGAAAAATTAATTATTTGTTAGAATTTATATTAAATTATTTAATAATATAATAATTTTTTAAGTCATTAAGCTAAAACTTCTATTAAAAATATAATTCTATATGAAAGTGAGTGCGAAGAATTATAAAATATAAGTAAATAAATATAAATATATAAATATATATATATATATATATATATATATATATATATATAATATATTTATATATATATATTATTTATTTATATATATATATTATATAAGATTTTTAAATTTTATTATTGATTGTTTAACATAATTTATAAATGAATAATATATAAGAGTATCTTGATTTATTTTAGAAATTTTTATCTTATAATTAATGTATATTAAATAAAAATAAAATTTTTATAATTAAATTTATTAGAAAATTAAAAAATTATATACAATTCTTGTAAGTAATATTTAGACTTATTTATTGCTTTTTATTTTAATTTAGATTAAAAAGAAATTATACTTGATTAATTATATGAAAATCTCTAATATATTCTTGAAAATTTAAAGTTTTTAGCCTGTAATAATATCTTAGAAATAAGATAGGAAGCTATTTAAACTATTGAACAAATTGCTTTAGAAAAACGAATTAATTTTAAGTAATTTATTATAAATAAAAAATAATTAAAGAATTTTATTATTATTAAATAATTAAATCAGTAAGTAATTTTGGACCATAATAATTATCGAAAATACAATTTATTAAATATCATAATATAAAATATAAAAACTAACAGATGTAATAAAAACAAGATCTTCAATAGACCAATTAAAATAATGGCTATCTACATCTATTCCATTAATTAATTTATTAAAGACATGTATCAAAAGTATATTTTAATAGAAAAGTTAAATAAAAAGTACAGATAAAACTAACTTAAAAAAATAAAGCGCAATAACATATTTTTAAATAATGAATAGTTTTATAGAATTTAATGTTTTTTACATTATAAATATAAACTTAGAAAACATATATGATTTTCTTAAGCAAAATTATACATATATTTAGAAATTAAAAAATTAAATAAT